GAAAGAGTGCCCACCCCATCACACCTAACTTTTACAAAAAGCAACATGAATCACGTGTAGTACTCACAGCACGGTGCCAGTGCTTTTCCTCTTGACCGTGAAGTGTGTGGAATCATCTGAGAACTCCACCTCATAGTTGGCTTCCTCAGCAGTAACCCCGGGGCCACTGATCTTGAGTGGGACTTCAAACCGCTGCGCGTTGGGGTCGTAGAGCTAAAGCAAGGTGAGCAGGGGGCAGGTCAGCTCACTCCTTAGCATGTGTTGCTTTGGCTAAATGATTCCAGCCCCCCAAACACTCACCCTGAACCGGAGTCTGTCCTTGGTCTGGAACTCCACTTCCAAGACGATCGGGGAAATGTCACTTCCGAAGAGGGACAAGGCCTGGCGCTTGTTCAGCGTGACTCTGCAGTGGAAACACATGCTGGTGCCCACCACGAGTGATCACTGCCTCAGACCACCCTCGGGCAGGCCAGGGGACCACCCAGCTACCCTGCGCCAGCTCTTTACAAATAAATCATTGACTTACTGAGAGAAATAATCCCTGAGGTCAGTTTGGGCCCTCCTTGATGTTGATGGATAAAACAGAGGTCCCCAAAGAAAGGAGACCTCGTAGTTTCCTGAGGCACAGCTCCCGGGGTGGGAGGGACCACTCCGCGCCTACACCTGGTTCCCTCACCTGAGGTGTGGTGAGAGCACAAGCCCCAGTTCTACGGCACACACGGGGAAAGGTGTCCCTTTCCCTCCTTGCCACAGGTGTATCGGAGCAGCTGCGGGAATGTTTTCGGCGAGGGTGCCCGGGGCGGCAGCGGCGGCCGCGGGGCAGGGCCGGCCTGCAGCGCCCGGGGCTCCACACGCACTCACCTCCAGCCCTTGTCGGTCTGCTCGGCGTTCCCGCTGCGCGCGTAGCCGTAGGGACTGTTCTCGGGGAAGAAGCACCAGGGAGCGTTGGACACATCGCTGGCGCACCAGGTGCAGCCCCGCGCCTCGCAGGCCTCCTGGGAAGCGCCGGGCTGCGGGTGGCAGTCAATGCGCTTCTGCACCGCGATGGCGCCGGGGCACTGCGCGTCCTGCTCCGAGCCCCGGCACCCGCCCAGGGCTGCGTGCGGGAAGAGCCGTCAGAGCAGCCGGGAACCACCGCGTTAAAAAAAAAAAACCCACAGCACCGCAAACTTCAGCCATTCTTTTTATTTTTATGTGCTTTCTCCCCATCTTAGGGCTACTACCCGTTATCCCTTGGACTAAGATGACGGCCGAGCAGCTGTGTGCTCATAACGGAGAAAGAGCAGCAAGCGCTTTCCTTTACAAGGCGAGGCAGTGGGTCTGCATTATTCTGCACTCAGAGCTGCCTGTGCTCAGCTGAAGCACGACTTGCTTCATAGAAATACTCATAGAAAGTTAAATAGCAGCGTAATGAAGCTGCTGGTGAGGCGTGAGAGCAACACTGCAGGCTGGCAGAACAGCAGGGAGTCTTCAATAAGGGCTGCTATCAATATGAAAAGGTTACATTTTCTGTATAATTATGTTATACACAGATGTTTTCTGTCTATAGAGATACAAATATCTGACAAACGGCATTCACTTGTGTGATATAAATAGAAAAATAGTGAGTATATGTTCATATGGGTTTCTTTTCTGCATCATATGACAACTGTATCTACACAGTGTTAGTAGTTTGTGTTAATACAGACATGGTTATGAGTAAAGGGAAGATGCCAGCAGTAAAAGAAAAGGCATATATTAGTCATTCACAGAATCATCATGAAAAAAAAACAACTGTTAGTAAGGTGCTAAATTTTCCCTTTTACAGCTGCAAGTCAAGCCCTCTGGTTGAGAGCCTCCAAAAAGCAGGAGGACCACAAGACCAGCTCCCTGCTGTGCTGACAAACTGCTGTTGGTAAATATTCTCAGAGAGAGCAGGCATATCACAGGCAGCATACTTATTCTGAAGTTAATTTATGTCATTTTATTCATTACAGCAATATTCCAAGATTAAATCTACTTGAATGATAATTGCTCTTTTCTACAAAATGACTAATACCTCTGCTTTCCTTTTTTGTTTGTTTTTTGTTGGTTTGTTGTTTTTTTTGGTTGTTTTTTGTTTTTTTTTCATGTGGACTGTTGCGTGCTTGAAAGCCTAAAACATGATTGCTGATGCAGTCTGGGCTTCTCCACAGAAAGAATTCTACAAGCAGATGTGCACAAGCAGTAATTATGTATACTGGGAAATTTACAGAATGAAATATTTGATTTTTGCTAGAGAATGCCATCATGCTGCAATGCCAGAGTTGATTTCCAAGTGGGGAATATGAACACAGAAAAGCAGGAGTGCCACCTACATTTTTTAGAGAAAACTCTCATGCCCCTTTTAGACAGGAACATCTGACACTCAGGTCTGATGCTCCCAGGCTGCCCTGCAGAGCTCACTGCTCTCTGCCACACTGCCTCATTATCATCTTCCTGAGGCTGGAATTAACAGGAATTATCTGGCTGTTAACCTTTGCCAGCTGCTGGGCAGGCACGATTGGTTTCCACCTCTGTTTTCTGGGGCAGAGAGTCAGGTCCCAGAGGCTGACTGCTCTCTGTCCAGCATTCACCCCTCATGATGCATCACATAGAAAAGCTATAAATTCTTATCCTCTTTTTCATCCAAAGCATATTAGGAATATGAGCATCCTTCTGCAATCCTGCAATTATTTTTTCTTGGAGAACAAAATAAACCCATCACATTTCATTTTGGTCTGGGGTGTGTTTTCTAGTGAGAGTCAAATGCAGCATTAGTGTTTTCATTGCTGAAATCAAGAAGAGTATGACTGAACAGACTACAGCAGATTATTAATGTGGTGTCATTTTACACAGGATAGGTTTGTGGGAGACTTTTATGAATTAATTTGTATTGTAAAATACTTTCAAAATACTTCTTATGAATGATATTGCGAATGAAAAAGCTAGTTCAATGGAAAAAAACATTCCCCCAGCAGGAACCAAGAAATTTCTTCCATTTTTTCTCCCATTAATGCAAAGCTTACATTTTCCAGCAAATTTTAGAAACCAAGACTTGCAGGTGTGAGCAGCTGAATAAGGCTGCAACCTTGCTCATCCCTTGTTCCTGGATTTACTTCTATTGTAGTACAAATGTGATAGCAGCAAGTGGGAAGATACAATTTTCCTTCCCTACTTTTAAAAATAATTTTAAAACCATAATTTTCACTGTATTTACAGCCCATGTCTGTAAACATAGAAAGAAGATGAAATCCAAACAAGCAGTTGAATATATAGCAACAGCTATGGCTACTTGCTGCTTTTCCATGATAATTTCCATGGGAACAGAAGCTAAAGCAAGGCAGTTGGAAAGATATAGGTGAAAAATAATCCTCATTGATTTTTAAAAACCTTCACTTTAATTTTGAAAAATTAGATTAAAATTAAGGCATAAGAAAGGAACTGAAGTATTACCACACAGATTTTAATTTAACAGTATTAATATTTACATTTTAGGTTCATTTGTATATTTCAAAGGAATTTGCTGCAGAGGTTCTATTTTCCAGCAACAAAATAATATGTATTCTCCCTTTACTATGCTATGGACCAAATTAACCTCTGGTATGCTGGAGCAAAAATTACAGAAGAAAAACGAACAAAGCAATAGGTAACTTTCAGGAGCTGAATGACACCACTGATTCCCTTTTGACTATGCTGGTGCACAAGTGTTGACTACACTGCAGGACTGGGGCTTATTTCTAAACAAGTCAGCTCTGCTGTCCTCCCACAGTCACCCCACGTGGAGCCAGTGCCATGCCTGTTCTCTCCTTTTCCATGGAAAACAGTAATTTCTTTTAACAGCTCTTCTATCCTTAGCACATTTATATTTTGCTTCTGAAGCCTAGGACAAAATACAAAAAGTACAAACGTGGTGTACTTACCTGCAAGCACAGCAGCCAAGAAACACAGGCTCCTCATCCTTGCCATGGTTGAAGGAGGACTTCTGCAGGCAGTCTGAAGCCTTTTATACAAGGCAGGGGCACGATAAGCACTCGTTCTAATACACAATCAGAAGCATTGCAAATATGTTCTCAGCATTCATATCTTTAATGAGATTATTTGTAACACATGACCTTGCCTGTATCTAAGCAGATAAGGTGAGATACAGTCTAATTTTTCCACACGCTTTGATCAACTTCTGAATTCCAACTTTGAGAGGAAAACGTGATTCTTCCGTGACCACTTAGAAAATTAATTTTTCAGAGACAACCTTTGGGTTTTTTTGACACAAACATGTTCAGACAGTGGGAGTTCAGTGCTTACCTTTCTCTGATTTCATATTATCTTTTGTCACATATATGGGTTTACAACACAGATGAAGTTTGGAGAAAAACAAACAGTCAAAGAATTCTCCATTAAAACAAGACAGTGATACTGTGACCTTTACAAAATGACATTTTTCTTCCAATTACTTGATAGAAAGAACTTTCAGAGCAAAAGTGTGAAAGCTCTGTTCTGTGGTAATACCTGGTTTAGGTGGAATATCTTTCTGGAAGAAAAAAAAAAATTAAAAGGAGATATTTTTTAGGAATACATTAAATAACATTAGTGCCTATCAGGAGATAAGCCAAACAAAATATCTGCACTGCCAGGCATCACTGGAGAGGAACATCTGCAGCTCAGGTCAGGGCCACACAGCCCCATGTGGTGCGTCACAGTCGAGCAGCTGGACAGAGGCAGGCTTTTCCCAGGTCTGCAAGGGCCTTTGTTCTGCAGTCACAAAACACAATATTCACACGAATCTTGCACACACAGCCATGAGTGTCCAGCCCCAAAACCGGGGGTCACCAAGCTGCTGGTATGATTTGTGTAGCCTGGCAGAACACCTGCTGGGCCAAGGGGAATGGGGACCCTCCACCAGGCACAAAAAGCCTCTCATGTCATGTAAATCCACTCTCCACTGGAATTTGCTCAAGGTTGTCACATAGTCCCAAATCATTTGTGTGTATACCCTTTGAGTAGCTAGAAAGCATGATAGACAAACACAAAGCGGTAGTGCTGCTGCTTATTTTAACTAATTTATACATTGTTTTTTAACGATGTATATAATTCATCACCTGTTTCCATCAAAACTTGGAATACAATGGTAACCTCAAATTGAAAGCAGTATTTTCACCTCCTTTCAAGCTAAGCAGAGAAAGAAGTAATTCCTTCAAGTTCAATAAGAGGCATCAGCACTTCTCCTTGTTTGACAGACCATATGCAATAAGGTGAGAGAGGTGTCACCTCGTAGGAACAGGAGTCACCTGCTTCATTTTATGTTTGTACTGTACTAAGTGTGAGGGAATCCCCCTAGAGCTCCTAAGTACTACAAAAACACAAATAATGGCCAAGGAGAACACAGACATGGGATACGATGGGATATACAGGCTATAGTGCTCACCAAGCTACTCTACTGCACTGTGTAAAACCATGGGTTTTATATGCAACACCTTTGCAAAGGAAATGGATTTTTTATAAGTATGATGAACAAGGCAAAAAAGCAGTTCACATTCACATCTTTATTTGTTACCTACACAAGCTATAATTTACAGACTGATATTTTCTGAAAAATAAAAACAAAATAACCAAAAAACCTCAATATCCAAACACTGTTTCTGAATCTACATAAAATTTTAAAATTTGCAGAATTTACAAATTAATATTCAGAGCAGTTGGGTAAATTATACATCCTCCCTCAATATCCAGGTTCCAAGAGCTTTAAAAGTCATACAGGCACAAGATAAGATATTTTCTTTATACAACCATCTATTTACATAGCTTTTCCCAATAAACGTGGTTCAGTTCTCAAAGTAACTGCCAAGGTTTGCAAAACAGTGTATTTAAAATACATTTAGCAGCATATAAAATTAGATAAAAAGGAAAGACAATTTGCTTAAAAAAAAGAAAATGTGAGATGATAGAAACAAATCCGTAAGAAAAATAGATTAAGATATATTTATCATGACATTATGAACATCTAGTCATTGCAGAACATAGGCAAAACACAAATAAAACAGCCATTTGTGGGCATTTGAGTTCTAGTCCTGAGCACAGAGTATACACAGCTGCACAACTTTGGTCAACACAGATTAGAAGCTATCAACACACAAATCATACGGCATTTGCTGTTAGCAGGATACAGCCATGTCAGGGAGATGTATCGTTAACAGCTTCTTCCCATCTATTATTCACTCCACTTTCCTAACAACAGTGTAAGTGACCTTTAAAATCTTCAAACTGCCTCTCACAATCAAAGGCTTATTCCTGGGACACGTTCCTTCCCCTGTTACCCTAAAATGCAAAACAGCTGATCATACTTGTGAGTGAAATACAGCAGAGCACTTTTGTTATATATTTCAGGTTATAATTTTGAGATGGTCATTAGAGAAGACTGAATTCCAGTTAACTTCAACTGTGAGTATTATATATGCACACAAATTCAGCCATAATATATAGAGATACACGTGACTGTTGAGACTCAAGCATGTTACCACGAGGTTATTAAATACAGTACATATTTTAAGGACAGCAGGTCTAGTGGAAGAGTTCAGCATTTTCAGTCCATTCCAGTCATCAGTGTTTAACTAACAGACATGCAGCAAACTGCATAGAGTGCACCTCAAATTGATCAATGTATTCCTTTATCCCCTGTAATTTCAGTTACTGGCAAGATCTTCATTTGCATCTCCTGTATCTGAGATCTGTCCATCTATTACATTTCGAGCTTTCCAGATCCTCACAGTGCGATCACTGAAAACCAAAACAAAGCAGTATTAGAGCACTGTGATTACACTGGGGAGGGAGAGAGGGCCAAGAGGGGGCAGGGGAGACTTCCTTAAAAGCTTGAGTGTCTTTTTCAGGTATTGTTGGCAAAATAACATCTCTTTAATGGACATGCAAAGGTTATTCCACCTCCACGAGACTTCGTCATTTAACATGTACAACACTGAAGATTCCCTAACCTTATCACAGCACTGGCTATGACCTTTAGCCACCTAAGAATGTATAAAGACTTTATGCCTAAGGAAAGTGGTGTCAGTCTATCATGAGAAAAAGTAAAAAAAGCACAAAACCACAAGACAATATGAAGTCCTAACTCTCCAACAAACCCAAACCCATTTGCAAGGTGCTAGATAGCACATGCCAGTGAGCAGGTGCTTAGAAACCCAGACTGTAGTTATGTACTTTTGGAAAGAAAATCACTATTTACACAATTTTAAAGTATGTGTAAATAAAATATCACATAAAATGTGTTACAAAACTGTGTTATAATTTAGAAGTAAAATAAAGTGTTAGTCTTGTTAAATAGCAATTTATTCCATGAAAGGGGAGTTATTAATTTCTCATAAACATTAAATTGAGTGACTAGCCAACATTGATTCATATATTCCTCACAACCTCTCAAAAGAAACCAGCAGTCAGAGCAGACTTTGTGACAGTTAAAAGTATTTTCTGACTTGTGCCTTCATTTCACTGTAAATTGTTAGGAACTACCTACATTTTTTAGACCTTAAGGCCCACTGCTAGAAATACCAAAAGACTGAATTTTTTTCTATAACAAAAAAGAATTTATTACAGATGCATGTATGTTCTAAATGGATTAATAATCTTTAGGCAAACAGAGACAGAAGCTTTGACATCTCTACCCCAACCTATTAGTGCTTAAACATAAAACCTGACCACCAAATACAAAAAATGTGACAACTTTGAAATCCTGCTATGATTCAGAAAGACCTACCTGCTTGTAATTCAGAAGGCCAGAAGCTTCCACAATTGGCACAAGAATGTAACACGTCAGCTTTCAAAGCTCCTGTGCTCAGACTACACCACAAAGAGGCTCTGTTACCACCTCCTGCATATTCTCCACAACAAGGTACGTTTCTTGGTCAATTCCCCTGAGGTTTCAGGTCCTCAATTTGCTTGTTTTTATTGGGAAACAAATATTCAAACTGAGGCATTTACAGGACAGAAGGATGGCTTGCAAAGCTTCTGCTGTTTGCCAGCACTTAAACCAACCACAGACCAACAGCCATGTGCCATGGCTTTTAGGAGAATTTGCACAGGTAAAGAATGAGTCATACCAGGAAATAATCCAACTGTAGAGACAAGCTTATAAAGTTCTCAAGTACTGCCAAATTGTCCCTGTTATCCTGTAGATCAGTGGTCTCCAAACCTGTTTTGATCGTGCTCCTCTACCACTAAAATTTTTTAAGCCCACACTGCTGTGTATATTTATCAATTATAAACACATACCACTGAGTTCTAATCATTTATTCCAGCACCCCACTGGGTCATGTTGTGCATCCTCTGGGGTGCAAGCACCCCACTTTGGGATAGCTGTAATAGATATTAGCACTGAGGGGCACGGACTGGACAAGGTTTCCTGTTGCTTTCTGTGAAGTGAGTTCCACATGTCCTAAACTCATGTGCATGGACAGAATTCTAGCAGGAGACACAGAAAATATTCATGGAGAAGAACTCACTCTGCTGCTGTAAAAATCTGGCTGGAGTTGGTGCAGATGGCATTTATAGGGCTGTCGTGTCCCTTCATCTCCCCAATGGGTGCAAAGGTATCCACGTTCCAGAGCTTGAGGGTGCCTCCCCTGCAGCCGCTGAGCAGAACTGGCACACCGGGCACCAGGCCAAGAGCACAAACCCAGTCCTTGTGAGCATTAGGAACTTGCTGAAAGAGAGAAGGCAGACAAGTCTCACAGGGCTGCAAAAAATTCCAGAGGAACAAGCACACAAGTGGAAAAATCCCAAGTTGTAAGCCTGATTCCTTGTCCTGCAGCAGTTTTGCAACTTGGCTCTGGGTGGCTTCTGCACCTTTAGAGCAAGGATAGTGCTGAATTCCAAGAGTGTTTCTTTTTGTGAAATAATACTGCAAAACGAGAAGAAAATCGAATATGCACAATTGACCTAATATGGAAGAAATCAGTTCAGGATAATGCAAAGTCTGCATGTTTTCAAATGCATAT